TCCAAAACACAGCACTATGCCTGCTACTAGGATGAAAATTAGCTCTATCCCAGCTGAAACCAGGACATCAGTCTTAACTTTCTTCATGATTATTATTTAGCCAGCTTGCTGCAGCAGGTTTTGCCTAGCAAACCATGAACACTCAAAAGATAGGTGGGAGAAGGGGGCAGGGGGAGGAAGTAGGAAGAGAACTAAGAGATCCATAAAAATGTGACACAAAAGCAAATCTATGTATCTGTGGGAAATGTTACTGAAGTCTAACTGAAAAACAAACTCTCTTATCTATGAAATATATAAATAGAAGAATTTTAAGTCTGAAAAGGATACTAGTTTAGCAGTTAAATATATTTAGACATTGTATTTATTAGTGGAGTTAACAATTAGATCATAATTTATTCAAGAACCTTCAACAATACACAAAGTTATATTGAAGGAATAACGACTCGTGCTGTTAGCAATTTCTGATGTAAGGAAAACGCAAGTTGATGCAAGTGTTTTTGTTATGAAAGGATGATGATTTTTTTCCCCCAAAGATGTCACTTTTCAAACCAGAGTGTAAGATTTTAAAATTTCTTAAGTTGGTTTCTTTTTTGGGGTGGGTTTGTTTTGGTTTTTTGTTTTGGGGTTTTTTTTTAACACACTATAAAAAACATTTTCCATCTGTGGCAATTTGGTACTAAACAATATTCAAATGGGAAGGCATTTTCCTTCAAAGGATAGTTAAACCATGTTAAATATTTAAAAATGACTGGCATAGCACTCAATCTTAAATTTAGATATTTTTGATGAGAAACGCAACAACCTTGGAAGTGTAAGTCTGTAAATGCTTTTGTTTTGCGGTTAAAAATTAAAAAGCCACATGAAGAACAAAAATATGACAGTATCTGCCTAGTCCTAGATGTAGAACTGGACAAAAAAACCCCCCCAAAACAGTACAGATTTCTTGAAAAACTCCTTTAAAATAAAATTTATATTTGTCTTTTCATATAGTATAAAAGTTGCAACAATCCATTAGCCTTTCTCTGAGACAACACTTTTTTTCCCTCTCATTTAGGAAAAAAAAAAAAAGCAGTCTCTTTGTTTTCTGAAATGAAGGACATTTTTCTAGAAATCCAGGTTTTTATATTTAGAAACTATAAGCAGTATTTCATATCATCACTGACAAGATAACTCAGTGAGAAATCAGTGCATCTCTCATGTATGTATTATTTAATCATGAAAGCAGACATTACATCCTCAAATGAAGCCTTGGGAAATCTATGCAGATTTTTTTAATAAGATGCCAAAAAGTCTCATATGACAATTATAAGGGAAAACAAAGAGTTTTATTTTGTAATGACCAGAATTTTTGAAGGGGAACTTGGTACTTCAGTGATGCATGTACTAAGTTTTTAAAGAATGTTGTAATCATGTACTAATTTGGGATCAAAAAGGGAAACAGACTTGGATGCGTTTTAGTTCAGATTTGTACTGGGAAATATGTAACATCCTAGCTGACGTCTGGAAGAAAGCTAAGATTTCAAGATCTCCTATAGCACGAATGACAGAATGTCTGAGATTTGATATCTTCCCAAATATTAAAAGCTCCAAATAGAAGAGAGTTCTTGCTCAGATGCATAGTTTGTTTGTTTCAAGAATCCCAGTTTCCATTTTACAATGGAAATGACTGTAATCTAAAAATGTGCACTTTTGTTAGTAGCTATTGTTTTACTAATTGCTACTTAGTGGTTAAACATATTAGTTCTTACCTACTTAATATTGGGTGTAACGATGCAAAACAGTATATACTATCGAGGACAATTAAAAGTATTCATCTATGCAATTATGTGCAGCCAGACCAAAGTCTGGTTTTGTCTATGGTCCAAACTTGGTAGCCATGAACAGGATCTGACTCAAGAGCCTTGCATCAGTAGGTAGCTCCCTGTGCCAGAAATCTGTGTTCCATCATAACATCAGTCTCTCAACAGAGCAGAATTCAGGCAAGCTAATTTCTGACTAAACTGCTTCTGGATCAACCATCTCATATCCAGTCAGCCAGAACAAAATAAGCACAATAAACTCTGGTCTGTTTGTAAGAGGTGTGCTCTTACTGTTGTTTTAATTAATTTTGGACATTCCAAACAACTGTTGAAAAACTGAACTCGACAGATCAAAATGGTTAAATGTTTGATGCTTCCTAACGAAAACAATTACACATCAATACTTTATTCCCAAAACCTCCTTAAACAGTTGACAGATGAAAGGGATATTAATATTCAAAAATATAAAATAATAGCAAGATAAACTTACTGGTTCTGTAAGCGTGCTGTCCTTTTCTAAGAATTGAACTACACAGTATGCCAGCTACAGTAAAAGAAAAAGATTTTAATTAATGTCCACTGTGAAACTGAACACACGTTGAAATTACTAGCACAAGTGGAGAACACTACTGAATTCAAATAAAAACACAACAGTTTTTCTGTAATTTTGCAAAAATTATTTGGCAGACAATTTAAACAACAAAAGGGTAAATACACTTTACCAATTTTCCCAACCTTCCCAAGTCTGTCCTCACCTTTTTCTGGGTTAACAGATAATTTGATGTTCTTTTCAGACCTAGTATTTTGCATTTCAGCACACTTCATCTTTTCAAACACAGGATTTAAAAATCACAATCTTGTCCTCTAAAGTGCTTTCTACACACTAACATTTTGGAGTCCCATGCTGATTTAGTAAGTATTTTCTATTTCATAATCTAAGTCAGTTAAAAATGCATTGAACAGTTGTAAATATTAGGATTTTCTATATATAAGAACTAATGACAATGGCATATCAACATAAAGCTGGTGCAAGCCGAGGCTGAATTACAGTATTTACTAACTTCAATTCTGAGAATGAGACTGTGTATCTGTGCCTAAACAGTGAGGTATTACATCCCTTTCACTCAATAGGCCAATAGTCCCAAAGTAAATGGGAGGATCACTGCACACCTCATGAACTGTTTAACCATTTTTCTAATGCCTCTCCATTTATGGAAGTTCAGCGGACGAGCCCAATTCTTCTTCTGTTTTTGATGATTGCTACCAAGAATGTCCCTATGTAATTTGAGGAATGCACAAAGATTATTACATTTAGTGTTCTCCATTATTCTAAAGTAAATTTGAATTAAATATAGAGATTAGCTTTCTTCAGGTATATCTGGATTTGGCAGCAAATCCTTCTGAATATCTGCCGCTGTTTCAAAGTGAATTTTTGTGGTTTTACTGTGGTGTTTCACACGCTAAGCTCACTTGAAGTG